AATCTCACCATTGTGGGAGGGGCAGAGACACAAACTACTGGGGGAAATCTCACCATTGTGGGAGGGGCAGAGACACAAACTACTGGAGGGAAATCTCACCATTGTGGGAGGGGCAGAGACACCAACTACTGGGGGAAATCTCACCATTGTGGGAGGGGCAGAGATACAAACTACTGGGGGGAATCTCACCATTGTGGGAGGGGCAGAGACACAAACTACTGGGGGAAATCTCACCATTGTGGGAGGGGCAGAGACACAACTACTGGAGGAAATGTCACCATTGTGGGAGGGGCAGAGACACAAACTACTGGAGGGAAATCTCACCATTGTGGGAGGGGCAGAGACACCAACTACTGGAGGAAATGTCACCATTGTGGGAGGGGCAGAGACAAACTATGGGGGGTTCTCACCATTCGAGTCCCCATTACAGGAAATTATTTTGCACATTCAGTTTGTTCTCTTCAGTGATTGGCTGATCTGTCCATCGTGTATCATGTGACCTGTATCGGGTTTTATGATCCCGGGAACATTTCTGTGGAGCGAGGAATGTGCGTTGGCATGTCGGTTGTTGCGCACTTTGTTTCCTCCAGACTGTCGCCTCACATTCCAGGGACGGAGGTCACATGACTATCGATCCAGACTGACCAGTAGAAGAATCGCACCATTCATCAGTCTGCGGAGTGGGAGGAGCCAGGAATGCTGGGACCCCGCCACCCATCCCCATGGAGAACAATGGGGGACCCGAGTGTGAGGTCATCAATGTCACCTGACCAACCGCTTCCCAGAATAGACAATAGAGGCCTCTGAGAGGAAGAGGAGGCGGCACCCGGGGAAGTGGTACTGTGCAGAGTCCGTACATACAGAATAAGAACAGATACCGAGAATGACACCCGGCATACAGGACAAGAGAAGTGGTACTGTGCAGAGTCCATACATACAGAATAAGAACAGATACCGAGAATGACACCCGGCATACAGGACAAGAGAAGTGGTACTGTGCAGAGTCCATACATACAGAATAAGAACAGATACCGAGAATGACACCCGGCATACAGGACAAGAGAAGTGGTACTGTGCAGAGTCCATACATACAGAATAAGAACAGATACCGAGAATGACACCCGGCATACAGGACAAGAGAAGTGGTACTGTGCAGAGTCCATACATAAAGAACAGGAACAGATACCGAGAATGACACCCTGCATACAGGACAAGAGAAGTGGTACTGTGCAGAGTCCGTACATACAGAATAAGGACAGATACCGAGAATGACCCCCGGCATACAGGACAAGAGAAGTGGTACTGTGCAGAGTCCATACATAAAGAACAGGAACAGATACCGAGAATGACACCCGGCATACAGGACAAGGGAAGTGGTACTGAGCAGAGTGCACAGATATCAGGAACAGATACTGAGATTGCTGTGTATTGAGGTGAGTGTTGTACTCGGTCTGGCCAGCAGGTGGTGCTGGCTGCTCACTGACTATAATGGGGAGATGATGAGATCGGTAGGATGAGGATCGGAATGACACCTCAATGGCAGCGTTCCCTCCCATTTCTGGGTCCTCATTGGCCAATCAGCAGCGCTGTCACCTGGTAGGATGGGGTCACATGACCCCAGGTTGGGGTTATTTGCTGCAGGTGGAGTCGCCATTAAAGTGAACCTGTTGCTTTTTCCCCGATTGCTCCATTGAGGATAACCCGGAATATACATGAGCGCTCCCTTAAAGGAGCATACGTGGGGTGGCTATGGGGGCCACTGAGGGCCAATCATCTCACATCTATAGAAAGGGGCCCGACACAGAGGGGCCACTAAAAGCAGGATCCCAATGTATGAGGTAGAGACACCTCCCCAATACTTGTCATATGGGACCCCACATCGGGGCCCTACTACGTACGGTGTGGTATGGGTGGCCCTCAGGGGGCCTGAAGTGAGGCTTTATTCTGTGTGTTATGAGTGGCCCCCAGGGGCCCTGGAGCGAGTCTGTACTATGTACGGTGTGAAGTCTCGGAGACGTTCTCTGCCGTCACTGCAGATCTATATTTAGTGTCGTCTGATGGAGCCGAATCTATTCCCGGCTCTCCACAGATTATGACCTCAATCCTCCTGGAT